CCACATGCATCCTGTATTGATAGTCTTGATTTTTGTAGTCAAATTAAAAGTCACAGTAATTGGAAATGAAGTATCTACTTGAACTGAAACGCTAACTGGGTAACGAGATAGCGTTCGAAATCAAATGCACTAGGTTCATGTCATGGAGTAAACATACAGCTCACGAAGCCTGAATGGAATGAAACGCGCGTCCCGGACTCCATTGGTAATCACCATCAATATCTGCTTAGTAAACTTCCGTACGGTAACTAAACTTTGGCCACCCTGATTGCAGCAATGAATTTCAATAGGCAAAGTGCATGTATATCTGGAGTACATGTTCCAATCATCAATATATTTAAACACGCTATCATTTTTGTATGTTTTAGGACATTAGTCATGCCTATTGGTCGTATAGCCTATTCAGTCGTCAGTATAAATTAATTACGACCTAATGCTCGTCAAAGTACAAAACGTAAGGTCAGAGACACAGTGGTAGCTAGCATTAAGGATTGAAAAGGAATGCATGTTAATTAGATGTCATTAACTGAAAAGGTAACTGCTAATACTTACATATTCAACAGATTTCAAAGCTTGTCAAATCATAAGTCTGTGATGAATGAGTTTGAAGATATACTTTTAAGATTATCAATACATCAGGTGACATTTACTCTAAGCTGGCTAGTAGTCGCAAGGCATGGTAATCCGATACGGATGAGTAACCACGTGCATTCAACTAGACTGTGTTTAATAAAACTAACGAAGTTAACGTCGATTTCGAAGGTTTACAGAACCATTTATTTCGCCGATTTATATTACTTCTCCTCTATATCAGTGGGGTAGCGGTGAGCCTTAGACATGGCCAGCTAGATGCTTAAACCTAAAGAAATTGTCATTAGTGAACATTTTAATGAGAATTTACCATGTTCAGCAAGATATTGTTGTGTTGCTCTGATATAAAAAACCACTTAGCACTACATAAGACTAAAAATATGTACAAACTACTGATCCAGACATCATTTGAAACGGTTCACAAATTTTTAAATATACGATTGTCCAGTTGAGTATGTCAAGTAAATTATCATCTGCTTGATTCGTAATTTCAGGTGTTTTTTGCAGATAACTTGTGTTGAAAATCAGTTTCTTCTTCTTCAAGCTGGCGAGCTTAGGATGATCGATTACTTGGGAACTGTCCTAGGAGTTTACGAAAGACAAGACTTCTGCAACAACGTCTTTTGCAGCCGAAATGTGCTGCATATTTGCAAGAAAAACGAAGTGTCCTAGGAAGTAAAATGACTACGAAGGAAAATAAATGGATGTTCAAGTAAAAAGAGTCTTCCGAATTTCGAAATCTATGTCGCCCTAAAATTCAGGGAATTAAACGACAGAATTTGATACTTGCTAGTAAATTCCTATCTTTTTCTTATCCTTCAGATATAAGGGATCTATATAAAGAGCTTACAGATAGAAGATGCACTGGTGACTTCAACTAGCCGAGTAGTTGTGGCTTAAATATTCCTTTCTTACGTCAGTCGTCTGACGTTATGCTTTAAACTGATGGCAAAAGATTTCTCCGGTCACTCAATTCGTCCTGATGCTTAGGACCAACGATTTCTCAAACCCTTATTTGAAGAGTTGATTTGACGTTCTGTCATCAATTCTCGAGCTACATCTACTAACCGATACCAAGAGTATGGAGAAAATTAAGATAACACCAATACCAATAAAAATATTAAGCTCATAGCAATAAATTCACTTTTACTACGCCCACTCTAAACTGCGCTAAGAGAGCATACTGATCGAAATCAGTTTACCTACAAATGCATGATGAATTATTGCTGCGGTTGTTTTACATCATACGATAATCGTTTGAAAAATGGTAAGAAGTGCGTTCCATGAGTATTCTAAGACTACCTTGTGTGGCTTTGTCTCAAGATTATTACTACAACTACCCACGTCGACAGTGACATTTAGATAACCAACTAACTACTCTGAAGGAGAATAGTACGATGTGACCAACGTCTTAACTAAGTGAGGAAGGTGCTTTTTTCTATACCTCTGCATAATCTGGCAGATTCCACAGATAAATTTGGGTGATCTCATTGTATGCACATAGATTTCTGTCTCTACATCACATAAATATTGGGCGGTTGTGCATATGAAATGTTCTTTGGTTCGAGTCAAGATTTCACAAGATGATTCTCAAATGTATAAGTCATCACAATCGACACGTCTCAATTTGTAAACGCAATTTCGGATTGACATGAAGGTGGGAATTTATCAATTATGAGAACTTTTTTATGACAACAAAATTATCATCTACATATCTGAGTCGATTTCGTGGTTTAATGTCATCGGCAAAAATATGAGTTATGAGATGTCAGAAAATTTAAAAACCTAATTATTTTACCGACTGTGGTAATACAAATATACTATTTTTATCTATAACAGTCTGCTCAAACTTCAATTCAATTGAAATTATCAAGTCAAACCTTGTTAATAACAATTTTTAATGTTGAGCACTTCAGTTTGGGCTGAATAAACCCTTGACTGTAGAGCAGAGGCCGTACTGTTTGAGCCATTTTGTTAGTATTCTCTTTCTCAAATCAGAACCGTTTAAATTGAAAACAGAGTTTGTATTTTGGCATGATTTAACACAAATGAAGAAATGCATATGTAGTAAGTTTTAAGCAGTTATCCCTATTTTTTAAATTCGTGCTTCCAAAAAGTTTTCAGTATGCAACGATGCAAGAAACTGTTTGTCGGTTGGTAGTTGAATATTTGAGAGGTTTCGACACTAGAATTAGTCCAGCGGCTAGACGGCCGCACACAGGACATTACTAAACACAACAACTATGATTATGCTTACTTCTGGATGAAGTCGGGTATATTCGATCTTTTAGTATTGACAACGGTAGCTTGTGCTGATAGTTTATCTATTGAATCCTTACTAAGACTAGCAGGATATTTTGGAAATTTTCGGAACGACATGTACCAAATGTCTACGCATCAGCACTAGGTAATATTAATAATCAGATCAGGTACTCTATAGTTTAAGGCCTCTCGCTAATAATGACAAGATTGCCCACCGAAGTAGCCCTGTACTAGTTATAGTTGTGCACGTTTTTGGCCAGTTTTTTAACAGAACTTTTTATCTAATCTCTACCACTTATCTGGCCCTATTCAGAGTTGACATATATTGTTTTTTCCCTCACTTCAAAAAAATGAGAATACATTAGGACGTGTCCGAACGTGAGCCTCAAAATTTGTCCTAGGACTGAGATTCATACATTGTGAAGAAATCTCTTAATCATCGAACGCTTGCTTATTTGGGAATAGGCGTCTCAAAGGTGATGTCCTAATAGCCTGTGAAATCCTAGACATTACTGACAGCCTCCTTATTTACTTACATTAACTCGTTTCTAACAACGAGTCACCCTTGTATTTAGTTCTGGTACGTTTGCTTGCAGTGAATAAAAGTACACATATGGCACCAATGAAAGAGGAGCGCAAGATCCCATCAAAAATACCCACAGCGGTAACTGTCTCAATCCTCACCAGAATATTGGAATCGTCAAACAGGAGCCTAACGAAACTCACGAAAATGCGAGTCACAATCTGAACTGGTATGCTGAAGAAATTACTGGCTATTGTTTATAATCTAACAAGGAGGAGTAAGTGTTGGGGAGGGGGATGGCGAAATCGTGAGATGCAGCCTACTGATAGCATGGGAAACCTGGGTGACTTACTGAGATCATGAAATATGTGTACATGTAATATTCTTTCACTTCACAAAATCCTTCGACGTTGTAAATTAGTTATTTCTCCTAGTGAAGTTATCAAAGATAGGGTTTTGCTGGCCGAAACTCTTCTCTGGATCCGGAACTTCCTAAACAACTGTGATGCTTCTAATCAAGATAAAAAAGTTCGCACGAGTTTTAGGGTCTCAACATCTGTCATCTCTCGAGGAACAATGTGAGTCCACTCCTGTTCTCGGTTCTTATTAATAATCAACTGGATAAAGTAAGACTGACGACACGGATCTATGCAGAACACTCATAGATCTGGAAGTTTATGATGTACGAAAAAAATCACTTGAGCTTTCAAAGAACTTCGTAACAACAAGGTAGTGTGCGCAAGATAATGAGTTTCCCTGTTGTGGTTTCAATTCCATCCCTTTAAAACGATTTTCTCTTAGCACTTGAATTATCACTTCATTGATTTCACAATGCAATCGACCAAACTCTTGTCTGGTAATAAGACAGCTCATGGTACCCAGTATTCATGATGCATTGATATAAACGCACTTATTAAACTACAATTTACACAAATCTACAAATAACTACTACACTGACTAGAATTAGTGTAGTCAAATGTCTAGACTACCACTCTTTAGGCGTAACTATATAACTTGAACCGCACCAAATAAACAAGAGGCTAGCGCAAAGAAGAGATACTGGACATTAGAAATATATCAAACAAGTCAAAGGACGACATAGTTTTCGGAAAGGTCTACCATGTCTGACGAATCTCCTTGCGCTGCGGCAGAAGATCGAAATATTTTAAGTACGAAGCAGATATATTGGAATGAGCCCAGCGACGAGGGACTGAAATAGTCAATGGTCTTTCTGGCCTATCTTACGAAGACAGACTGAGACACCTTATCTTATTTCCGTTATCTTACCGCAGAATATGGGGTGATCTAATAATGGCTTATTGTATACTGAACGATGACCTTTGTAATAATGTGTCTTATTTTTTCCTTCCGTCTAGGACTGATAATTTGAGAGGACATTCGAAGAAAGTTCAAAAACCGAGACCAAATCGTCTACATATGGGGTTTCGTTTCTCGTGCCGAGTAGTGAATTACTGGAATTCCGTACCAGAACCTGTAATATTAGCACCTTCCGTTGATATATTCAAAATGAGATTGGACCTACACAGTGCTACAAACTGCAAGGATTATTAAAGTCTATAGACCTCTTATGTTTATTACTGAAGACTGAAGTCACTCAAGGTTGCTGAAACGAAATAGCGGTAGTTTCAATTACGGGCTGTCAGTTTGATTTCTGGTGTCAAATGTCAAACGCTTTTAACTTCACGTTTATTTTATTTCTAGTTGTTATCATGTGATCTTTTTATTAAGAAATTTTGCATTCTTTGTGGTTTCTGAGTTTTTAACATACTTTACCTATGTTCTTTTCTCTTCCAGACTCTCAGCATACAAGTTTCCTTCTGGTTAAACATAAACTTTCCAAAGACTAAACGTTCAAGTGAGTTGGTTTCTGGTTAGTTTATATCTCACCTTACATAAAATCACTTAAGCGTCAAGCCTTTGTTGTGCTGTCAGCAGTCCTTTTAGGTTAAGCACAATGAAAGTATAGCATACAATCCTTATGGGCTTTCTAGTATATCTCTGTTATAGGCTTATATTTGATCATAAGCTTTCTATAAAGCACTTCGGTTTCATCAGAAAGTTTATGGTCAGTCTCATCAACGCTCCAATCACTTAACGTTCGTATATGTACACGAAAATGCTTGGTTTTGTTCACCGATATCGATGCACTAACCATAAATGTTCCTTATAAAAATGTTCATATCAAAAACGCTTTTGACGAAAACATTGCAGAGGGACAAGCCTTAAACTGGCTATTTTCTAGCCAAATGAATCAGTTTCTATGTTTAGATAGTTTACAAAAAATAAGATCTATTTCAAAATGTCAGATTTTACTTGGTGTAGTAACGGCTCTCGCGGATGACTCCTCGTCAATCGAGAAGACGATTAAATGGAAACTCGTCGTAATGAATATAGATTGTTTATATCCTCTAAACAGCCCAGATGAAGTCTCCACGCAGTTCTTAGTTTTTTTCACGAATAAGTGCTCATATTTGGGGGTTTTATGTGAGACCATAATTTATAGGCGACTTTTGAGCGACGCGAAATCGGCCTTAAGAGTGTCTATTTAATAACTAGGACCAAATGAGGGTTATAAACCAGTGTGAGGTTAAGAATCAGATCAAAGGTTTTTATCACGAACTAACATAAGCTATAATGCCAGAACTATTTGACCAAATATATGAGTGAATTTCGCGCTAAAATCCGAGACCTGTTATCTTATATCTGATTGGTTCGTCAATAAATTATCGTCTCTCCAGGGGTTTCATGTGTTTAGGACCTATGGTAGCTAAAAGTTATTTGTTGCTAAATAAGTATTTAAATTGCACTTGGAGTCTTAAAACTCGCGTCCTCTACTTTGAATCTTTCGTTTCTAAAAAATATTTTTGTCGATATTTCATGGTTGAGTTTGTCCACTTCATTTTAATCTAAGGACATTTCAGCTGTTGGAAGCAATGTAATCTTACAAACGTTCTCATACATTGCTAATTGTCAAAGATTATGTCATGATGTTTGCAGTATAATCTAACAGACTTCAGCCTTTCTATAAAGTCATCATTCTGTAAATGAGTAAGAAGTACATCCGTAGGGTAATTTCACTCTTGATGCATAGTGAAATCAAATATATACGCGCTTACGAAAGATTATAGATAATGGTTAATCTATTATATAGAAATCTAGTTTGTTCTTAGTCTTCCCACAATTTTTTCTAGATTGAAGACTTATCTGAGTACAGCAGAATTAATAGGTTTTGGCTACAAAAAAACCAACTTCTCTTCAGTATTTTGTAAAATGTATGGGGATGTTGATCTTCAAATGCTAGTTTCGTCTGGTCAATTTCTATTTTCTGCGTTACAGTTTCAAACTATGTATGCCCTAGCACCAAAAACCAAAGCAACTTTCTCGTTGTCCACCCTTTCCTCTTGAGATTGTTGTTACACTCGTATATGGACAGGATTAGTAACATTAACTCAGTTTATTTCTTAGGTTTATGACGGATTTGTTGAAAGCTTACAGATGGCTTGTCTAAACATTAGTAAATATTAAACGAGAAAGCGCCGCTAGTGTTCAGTGTTGAGTTAGCTCAAATCAAAACAGTTTTGATATGAAGAATTCAATCAATTTCGCCGAACTAGCGTAAAAGTTAAGGGGCAAACTATGTATGCGACTATCTTTTTCCCTTAATCACCCTAGCATGGTCGGTACTACACAGGGTCCTTTTTCCTCTTGAAATACTCTCGTATAGCTGTGAGTTTATAACTGCTCTCCAAAAACATCTACTTTCATCTGATGCGAAAGTGTTTACAAAATTGAGATGAACATAGCTGCCCGGCCCTTGAACTTGGTTTCTTAATGTAAAGTGGGATCGACAAATTTTGTTTCCAAAACACCAACTCAGGATTAAAAAAATGGTTGACGTGGGAACTAAACATAGTTATCGGCGGCTTTCGACCCCGTTAATTGTGAAGCTCTGTTGTAGTGTCTGTCATTGAAAGGCGTACCAAAGAAGTACGTGAATGTTGTACAGTCTCTCCACTCGAACGTGACTTGTCGAGTTAGAGCTTATAGCGAACTGTCACCGGAATTGGTTGATTCAAGTGGTTTCTTCAGGGTTGTTCGCTTTCCCATTTGTATTTAATTTTGTCATAAACATGCTTTTAGAGATAACACTGCGCCTAAGTACAGAGTACTTTTATAAGACCGACTGGCATCTGCCCCTGCACTTACTCTTAACAGCCATTCTGTATGCTCGTAAATCACGACCGTTCGGAGTTTACGGTATTAGGTGACTGTCTGTGTTAAGTCATCATTGTCTCTAAAGGATCGTTGACATTCAGTGACAACGTCATATTAGTAGTGTGGAGGTTCTGTGATGTTTTTTCGGAACAATGGTCATAATACGGTTGACGTCACTATTTTGGAACGCTAACTCCAGTGGCCTGGATGTGTGCTATAAGTGTCGCCCCAGTGACTTCCACATCGTGTCTTGGTCAGTTTAAGACGTGGTACCGGGGTATAAAAGAAAGCTGTTCAAGACTGATATCCGTCGGTTCATCACAACTACCTGGTTGGGGTCCAAGCAACTTGGTAGGTTGGGACGTTATCAAACATGAATCAGATCAAAGCACTATGGCTATACTGCTGTAGTTTTCTACTACATTTTTTATAAAAGTGAAAGTAATCCTCTTAACCGAAATAGGTCCTCAGTTGTGTTTTCAATTGAACTGTCTCTCCTATTATATACTATTCTTGTTCATTTATTATTATTTTTTAAAACAAAGTTTCACTCACCTTCCTTTTATTTCACAATTATATGTCCTTGTGTGGAAAATACTTTTCCTAGGGCCCAGTTGTATCAAACTATGTGTGTTATAAATAAAACCAACCGTCAAAATCTATCAAATCGAAGATAGTGGATTATGATTAGAACTTTTTAGTGAGTATATTCACAAAATCATTTGTTTAGTTTCGATGTTCAATTTCCTGTCTGTTACAAGACAAATTTATCTATTATTTTTCCTATTGTTGATGTGTTGGCCCTAATTCACAATTTATGGACTTTGTAGGTGACTTTTTAAACAGTTTTATGGATAACATTAGCTTGTCTACATTCAGAAGTTGATTTTAAGTATTCATTACAAAACCAACTCTTATTATTGTAGATACTTTTGAACTATGAGTGCACAACTATTAGAAACTCCTACAAAATCACGTAAACCTAGAAATTCTGCTTTTTTTCAACAAAAACTCCCAGCATGGCAACCAATGTTTACTGCTAAAAAATCTGGAATAGCATTCACAGTTTTTGGAATTGTACTGATACCCATTGGTATTATACTATTAACGGCGTCAAATAGTGTTGTAGAATATCTTGTGGACTATACAGATTGTACTCAGAATGGTACTGAAGAGTTATGTTCTCAAGTAATTGCCTTGGGGAAACCATGTGTTTGTGTTAAACATATTTCTATTGAATCATCTATTCCTGGACCTGTTTATTTATATTATGGTTTAAACAACTTTTATCAAAATCATCGAAGATATGCACGATCTAAAAGTGACGAACAGTTGCTTGGTATTTATCAAGACCCAAGTTCATTATCTTCGTGTAATCCATATGCATCAATTGGGGGCAAACCAATACTTCCATGTGGTGCAATCGCAAACAGTATATTTAATGACACATTTATTCTGACATATATACGCAATGATAATACCAAAGTTACTGTCACAACTACATCAAACGGTATAGCATGGCCTTCCGATGTCAATCGCAAATTCGGGACCTTGAATGCAAATGGTTAGTTAAAAAATGTCTATTTTTTCATATTTATGATCTTGAATTGATCTACATTTCTAAACCATAACTTATTACATTGATATGGTCGGTAAACTAATGTAGGTTTTCAGACTTAGACCCACGAGTTCCAAACTACCTTTGTAGGAACTCACATAAATGGAGCTTAGATGAAATATGGAGAATGGAAGTTAGTCTGTAACGTGGATGAATCTTTTCCATATTTATCCATCTACTGATATTCGTTTTCTGTTATATGATAATAATTTTGTGAAAAGTTTACTGAAATAAGTAGTAACCTAATTTAACAAACTCTTTTTAAAATTTAATGGTACTATGTAAAAGACAAATCAAATCAGACATGTTGCATTGCTATAATTAAGTTCCACCACTACCACCTTTGACTTCACTACTTTTATGAATCCGGTGTTAATCTTGCTTTGCTAATGCGGTATGGCAACTTGGACTGATGCATATGTGTGTCTGGTCCTACGTTGTAGCTGACTGACTACCAGGACACTTATAACATCATACGTTTTATCCCCCCCTTTAAGCATCAAACAACTAACTTGTCTATGACGGCATTAAAATGCATAAAACAATTTCGGAATAAGTCTAGTACTGAACAATCTCCAGAATTTATATAACCTGGATCATCGTATTTCTCAAGCCAACTTACTTGAATATCCTTGATATAATATGCCAGATAAGATTTAAGGTTTAAATGAAAAGGTTAGTGGTATAGGCAGACCGACATCGTCATCATAGAACCTGGCATAAATGTGCGTTTCCTCAATTTGTCATACTATATCATCACGACGAGATAAAAGTAACACAAGAGATCATAATAATTTAGTAGTAAGGCTATAAAGAGATTCAGTCTTGGTTATATGATTTGTAAAATCAGAATAGATAGGTATATATGAATGTATGATGAGGTCGTGTAACATTTGAGACGATGCCGTTCGTATGAATTCTTTTCAATCATCTGGAATTAGCAATAACACATGAGGAAATATATACTATGAAACATCCAGTAAAATCAACATTAACCGGGATCCATAGTTCCCTTAAAAGTGATCACGTTCAGTAATTTTGTTCATGCGTTTAAGTTTTCTCGATAAACTGAATTAAATTCTTGGTCACTTTCAAATGAAAAATTAGCTCTCATTCATATTATCTATGTTATGATATTTATTTTCTTACATTAAGAATTGTTGAATGATCTCAATTAGTTTGATGATCTTTTGTTGAAATATGATCTGATATTTAATAATTTTGACTATTTCATAGCTCTCAATAATACAGTCAAGCCACCTAATTGGCCTCAACCAATTCAAGCAAGATCTTCAAGTCCATTTAAAACTGATGAAGCTCTAATAGTATGGATGAGAATAGCTGCTTTGCCAAACTTTCGTAAATTAAACGCTTATGTAGTTCATAAAGATGATTTTACAAATGGTCTACCCTCAGGAACGTATGAAATTGTTATTAACTACTGTGAGTATTTGGTTATTTTATTTACTGAAATTTTCTTTCTATTGTATCTAATTCTCTTTAGGTGAACTTCACGATTTGACATGTTTATAACTGGTAAAGACTAGATGTTTAACAATTGTTTCATCTTTTTTTGTAGGAGATATCCACTACTCTTCAGATATCAATAAAACTCATTTGCCTTCTACTTTCAAGACAATCAAAGTAATAAGTACACAACTATTATGAATTTAAATATAGTTTGGCTTGAATCAGAAGGGGTTTTGTGGAGATTGTAGTAATCTCAATAATTAAGATCATGAGTCAATTGAAGTTAGACCACCATGGAAAACCTAGAAGCACTGAACGGCCGTTTCGCCCCATTGTGGGACTCTTCAGCAGTGCGCATCCACGACCCCGCCTCGTGGGACTCGAACCCAGGACCTCTCAGTCTCGTGCCAGGCACTTAACCAACTAGACCACTGAGCCGGCATCCGATGATGTTAATTTCTAATTTCAACTAATCCACAAAACTGAGCGACACATCCACCATTGTCATCAGTGAGTTACTATCTCACAACTGACCCAGTTGAACTCCACTGGTCACTGCTTCTCATTAAAACTCCAGGATATACCTCTTTAAGTCAGTCACTAGTGAGTATATGTTGATTAGAATCAGGAGGGGTTTTGTGGAGATTGTAGTAATTTTAATAATTGAGATCATGAGTCAATTGAAGCTAAACCACCGTGGAAAACCTGGGTTCGAATCTCGCGAGGCGGGGTCGTGGATGCGCACCGCTGAGGAGCCCCACAATAGGACGAAACTTCCGTCCCGTGCTTCCAGGTTTTCCATGGTGGTCTAGCTTCAACTGACTCATGATCTCAATTATTGTAGTTTTGCTTATTGAGCAGTTTCATATTGTATTATAACAATTGTTCGGTGGTTTTGTTTTGATTTTAACAAAGTATTCTTTTCGGTACTAGTTGTGAATTAAATATCAGTCTAGAGAGATAGTAGTTGTTTTACCCTACTAACTATCTTCTGTGGTTTTCATCACCTTATATAGATGGGGCGTGATTCGAACCGTGGACTTTTTGCCTCGAATTCGATCCCCTGAACCACTACTCCACCGTTTCACTGAATGAATGACAGTATTAGTTTACAATTTCAATGATCTCTGTTGATTGAAATGAGTTTCAATCATGGGACAATATAAAAGATTTGTAACTCAACTGGACGATTTTACTGAAATCACTTTTTCTGATCTAAATGATTCTTTGCTTTTCCAGGAAACATCGTTAAAAGCACAAACCTCAGATAGAAGCGAGGTATGGTAATTTCGTCATGAATGACTAACATCTTGTTGGTTGGTTCGTTGTTATTGATTCTTGTCATTGTCTGGATGTTTATCTTGATCGTCTCACGCTTTGACCTGATTCTTGATCTTACAGATTTTTATAATTTTTCTAACTGTGCAGACTATGACAACAACTTGTTTCAACATTGATAGGACAAACTGCTAGTCACTTCTCACTTCTATCTGAAGTTTGTGTTTCTAACGATATTGTCTAGAATTAAAAAAGAAAGCTTCACAATCAAACCACCTAGTTCAGAGAAATCAAATTAAGGTTACCATCACATACAGAACCTTTCAAATGTATGGGGTTTTCAATCAGTCAGTTACAACGTAGGACCAGGCACATACATGTATCGGTGCAAGTTGCCATACCTCATTAGTACAGCAAGACGAACGCTGGATTCATAGAAGTAGTTAAGTTAATAGTGGTAATTTTTAACAGAAAGGTTGCATATTAGGATATAGTAAAGGAAGAAAGATATGAAGCGATTTTAGTCTCATAGTTTAAGGGAAGATAGATAGTGTATACACCTACGCCATTGTGATCGATTCTGAGCCATGTGACTCAGAGTCTCCAACCATTGGTTACGATAGTCACGCGGACCCCAACCAAGTAATCTACATTTACCGACATGGGGTTTTATTTATATATTAAGAAAGAAAAACATCATAACCCAATATTACATTCCTGACCAGAGTGTTGAGTGAAGAATGATTCAGTATGAAAAAATTAATGAGAAGAATAGCTTATCTATTGACAATAGTAAGTAGTCATAACCACCTTTATTAATCCGATACAAACAAACTGTATCAAACCTTATAGTTTTCGTGTTATCACTAAAAAAACACTGGTTGGGACACGTGTTACGTATGTTCAACCACCGACTGTCTCGACGTGCGATGTTTTATGGTGTAGGAGTAGGTTGGAAGAAAGTTAGGGGCGGCCAGACCAAATCATGACAAGTGGACTGAGCCATGTTGGTAGGTGTAGACTACTTGGTTGGGATCCACGAGATGATAGCAACCGATGGTTAGAGACCCTGATTGACATGGCTCAAAATCGTTTGAAATGACACAGGTGCATCCACTCTTTTTTTTCTCCCAGATTCTAATCTGGATTCCTTTTGTTCCTTATTTTTTTCTCTTTCCAAATTTATTTCACTGAATTATACTCCTTGAATAACATCATCAAACCCTAATGTTTCCAATTACTGCTTATAATCTTACTACCTCCACCACTATGGGATTTGAATCGACAACTGCATCTCTGTGCTAATGTGGTGTGGCAACTCGAGCTGATGTACGTATGTGCGTACGTACGTACGAAGTTCTACGTTGTTACTAACTGACTTGTGTTATCACTTTGATTACTTTCTTAACAATGTCATTCACATTGATATCCTCACTTTATTTATTTCTTTTCAGTTTATCCAGTTACTTCATTCGGTGGTAGGAAAACATTTATATTAGCCAATGCTAATTGGTTGGGTGGAAAAAACCCAACACTTGGAATTCTTTGTTTAATTACTGGTTCTATACATATATGCCTTGGTATAGCATTCCTTATTGTACATTTTTTGTATGGTAAACGGTAAGTAAATGATGTGTATAACTTTGTTGTTGTTATTGTTGTTGGAACTGTATTATTGTTAGAAATAAATGAATCACTATGTCAACTCTCTGTTGTTACCAGAATGATCTTTAAATTATCCGGGGTTTTTTCGTCAATACTTTCTTTTGATGACTAGTTGTTTGAATGTGTGTACTGCAGTAACTTAACTTTCAATTTATATCATCCTAGTAACTTCTATTGTTATCTATTCATTCTCTTTCCTTTTTGTTTGATTAATTTTGTTGTGTTTATATGATCATAGCTGTGACTATATATGGATAGAGTTGTTCGATAACTATATCTACTTCTTGAAATATCAGGTGTTTCTGGAGTACTTGACCTCTGTTGTATTGCATTGAGGATTATTGTTGAATTACTGCGAATTATTTCTCTAGTCTGTATAATATATGTAGATCCTGTTTCGTACAAAAAGAATCTTTTCATCGTTTGCAATTCGGCATTCTCGTAAGCCATTTTAGAGTAAGGGAGTTATACTGGAACAAAGTAAATTGTTCTTCTATTGATACCTCAAATTTCAACTAGTTTTGTCATAAAGAACGTGCTAACTGTTGCATCCTTGTCAAGAAGGGTGATTCGACCTAGTCATCAGTTCTGAATATATATTAGATAGGTTTTTGTGGAGATTGGTTTAATCTGTAGGTAGTAATCGTCACAAATTGGCATCATTTTAAGTGCCGTTAAAGACTAGAGAGCACTGGCCGTCTGTTTTGTCTGTATAATACTCCACGGCGGTACGCACACATCCTCACAACGGATCGTAATGAGAACTATCAGGATTTGTGGTGAGCTCTTAGCGATCAGCACCTCCAGGGCAGAATTCACTGGTACAGTTCTAACCCCAGCCTATTCGTTATATAACACAGCGACCAGTTAATGCGATTGGGAACAGCTGTTTCCTGATAAATTAGCAGTGGTTTTACTTATATCATTTAAGGATGACCCTGACTATTGATCCCAGCTAATTATGAGGTTATCACATCTCCACTGTTCGGTATAACTGATTTAGATACAACAAAAATTCTGATTTCATACACCAATCAGTCTAATATTATTTATTTATTTGAACACATAAACATTGGTACAAGGAGGCACCAAATCGATATGCGCCACACAAATCGCTTGATTTGTGTGTGGGCTGTGATACTGTCTGGGTGCTCAAACTGAAGCAGGTGGATTTTTTAGGAGGCCACACTTGGAGCCTATAACGTAAAGGTCCAATCCACAAGGTAGTGGATCAACGTCAGGAGATGCAGTACCATAGCAGCCACTGACCAACGACTGAATCATACGCCATTTGTTCCACCAAGATCATGGAGTCCATGTGCACCATTAGTTTGGAAACAGTTTTCAAACTCCCCTAGGTGAACTCTCCGTGTCCACCAACGCGATTAAAGCGCCGATCATTCGCTTTTAGTCCTGTCAATTTCGTAAACAAAACCCATGCAGCGAGAACGCAATAAGTACTTCGTTTTATGAATTAGTTGTACTAAGGATGTCGAAATTGAAATATACTCGATATTTTTTTGATATGACATGCAGCACCAGACTGCCCCCAAATGCCGAGAGTAAGGAGAATCAGCTCTCCCTGTCGAAATGTTCTCACATGACCACATGCATACAACCATTGCCAAGGAAGTCCTACTCACTGCATTCTCGCGGCATTACTGTTGTTTATGAAACTGAGAGGATGGTTCTTTACCCGGGTTAGTGGACACAGAGAGTCTACCTAGGGTTGGGGGTTGGAGAAGCCTCATTCCAAACCACTGGTGCACATGAGCTCCATGTTCCTGATGGAACAAATGGCTTATGAACCAATTATTGGTGATCGGTTTCCATAAGACTGCATCTCCTGATGTTGTTCCATTGACTGAATATGCTCCCAAATGCCCTGGTACGGCCGATAGTGGAGAGTCATCTCTCCCTCTTTAAATGCTCTCAAATAGCCACGTGCACACTGCCACTGTCAGGGAAGTCCTACTCACTACCTCCTCTCAGCATTACTGTTGTTTACGAAATTGAGAGATTGAAAAATGAATATCTGGAGCTTCAACCCCGTGATCGACACGGAGGATCGATTTAAGGGAGTTAGAAAACCCTGATTCCGAATCAGTGGTGCACATGGGTTCCAGGATCCTAAAGAAACAAATGGCGTATGAACCTACTGTTTTTCATCGGCTACCATTAGACTGTATCTCCTTACGTTGCTCCATTGTCTTGTGAATCAGACATTTAGGTCAAAGGCTCGGGGTGTGAACCCCTAAGAAAACCACCTGCTTCAGTTTGGGCACCCGGACAGTATCACAACCGACATACAAATCAAATGACTTGTGTGGCTCATATCGATTTGGTGCTTCCTTGTACTAATGTTTGTGTGTTTAAATAAATAAATAATATCCTGGAAACTCCTAATCTTAGTAACTGCTCTTTTAAGGCATAGTTTTTTCTACTGTGAATATCTACATTGTTAGAACGTAATTACAATAAAACGTCCCGCGATGTATGTAATTGAATGATTAGTGTACATTTATCTATGCCATTAATACATCATATTCAGTTTCATTATATAATATTTCAATTATATATATATATATATATATATATATATATATATATATATATATATATATATATATATATATATCATTTATTCTATTATACTATAAATGATATATATTATTTATAGTCCAATATTTCCTTCATCCGTTTGTTTAATTCGATGTACAAATTAAGTAAGTAAAATTGAATGAGATTATGTTCGCTATATTACATCATTCTATCGTGTTATATCAACAACAACAACAACCATAACAACAACAGAATCATCACTTTCTATAATTGAATAAATCTTTTTCGGGGGAGGGGGTGGAGTGTGGTAGTAAACACTCTGGTTTCCATCTTATTTTCTTCTCATCATCATTATCATTTAAAGTAATATGATTCATTACGTTCAATCATTTCTTATTTATCTATTATGCATGTTACTATGATTTATAATTTTAATATCTTAGACATCTTAATGGGTACCATTTGTTCATCGTATTCAGATCTATTTAGATCTGTTAAGCCTTAAGATTGTTGTTTATCATTCAGTAGTTATAGTATTGCTTACTTACTTATTTACTTACTTACTTACTTACTTACTTACTTACTTACCTACTTACTTACTTACTTAATTACTTACGATCAGCATTCTCCAACCCGCTCTGTCCTGGGGCTTCTTTCCTAGTTTCATCCATTTATTGTTCATTTTTCTGATGTCTGTGTCGATCTCTCGGCGCAATGTGTTCTTTGGTCTTCGTCTTCTCTTTTGGCCTTAAGGATTTCAAGTGAGTGTTTGCTTTATAGTATGTATTATTCTATCTAAATTGGATATGGTTTGTCTTTTTTACTCTGAATAAGTGTAATGATGATGTTAATCAATCGATTTTAGTGCATAGAGTTTCAAGCTTGAATTTATAAGCCTAGTAAATTTATTGGTTAAACATTATATGATGTTCTTTTTGGATTCTGTTTGTCAAGGGTTATGTCAGAACATATACTATTCACTATTAGTCAATTGTAACATTGTGTAATCATTACATTTATATGGAAACAATTCTGAGGAGTCCCAAAATAGGACGAAACAGTAGTCCAGTGCTTCCAGGTTTTCCATAATAGTTTAGTTCCAATTGACTCATGATCTTACCTATTAAAATTACTATAATATCCACAAAATCCCTTCTGATTCTAAATTAAATATGTTAACTTCTTGTTTAATCAATTTTATCATAGAAATTAACAATGAATGATTTTCTTTGGACCGATGCATATACGTGCCTGGTCCTACGTTGCAGCTGACTGACTGACTGACTTCTTTGATTAGATATCTCAAACATCTACGTTAGTGATATAAATTGTTGATTCATACACAAAATACTGAGAGATACGACGTGTAAGATCTTAGGTTTGAACCTTACTTTACTAAGTTTTGTTTAAGCAGTTAAGTAGTACTTTTTTATATGCTACTTATATTGACAAATATAAGTAGTTTTCGTTCATTAAATTATCATAAGCCTTCATAAAAATACCGGAAAACTGAGTACATGAGTCTATACTTGGTAAATGTTCATGTTGGATCCTCTAGAAAAATCACTTATGAGTTATTTTAGTATTTTCATTTTGTGATTTTAACTTCCCATTTCTTCCCAATATTTCATTATGGCAACCATCATTCATTTTTATTATAATTAAAGACGCTATGTGTGGCTATTTCAGTGTGTTCATTGCTTGCTTTATTTTCAATGAGAAAAGAACGTGCTTTTAATAACATGGTGAAATCCCTAAATGAACTGTTATAGTGTCTGCAGTATCTATCCCACAACAAATTCCTTTTTGTTTATCCTATGGAATTTATTTATTTTATTTTATTTTAACACATAAGTATAGGTACAGGGAGGCACCAAATACATATGCGCCACACAAATCTCAATTGATTTGTGTGAGGGCTGTGATACTGCTCGGGTGCCCAAACCGAAGCAGGTGGTTTTCTTAGGGGGCCACACCCCGAGCCTTTGACCTGAACGTCTGACCCACAAGGCAGTGGAGCATCGTGAGGAGATGCAGTCCCATGGTAGCCGGTGACCAACGATTGGTTCATACGCCATTTGTTCCCGCAGGATACTGGAGCCCATGTGCACCATTGGTTTGGGGTCCGGTTAAAGCGTCGGACATTCGCTTTTCGTCCTCTCATTTTTGTAAACAACACCCCCGCCACGTGAAGGCAGTGAGTAGGACTTCCCTGGCAGAGGCTATATACGCATGGCCATGTGAGAGCATTTCGAGAGGGAGAGCGGACTCTCCCCACTCTCGGCCGTACCAGGGCATTTGGGGGCTTATCCTATGGAAACCATCTATTTATTGCTTACACATATATTTTATGATATGTTTACTACACAACTTTATTTGTAGCTGATTTTTTCATTGAGGCTTGAATTAGAAATGCCTCATTCTAACTAAATGGTTCTGTAGTTTTGATTCTTTGACTTAAAGATGTTGTTCACAAGGCCAGAGATCAACGTCAAAAGCTATAGCTGTATAATACTTGATTACTCGTATGTCGCATTGGGTTTGTGTCAAAGTTTTCTGTTTCTCTTTGTTCCCACCAACCCAGTTTATACTCCAAACGACCTCTCACTCTTTCATTATCATAGAAATACCTTTGGTTGGAGGTAATATGTAGACATTTCATGTAAAAGATTAAATATTCTCAGTCATATGAGAACATTTAAAGGGGAAAGTGCACGTACCTCACCATCCGTTGTATTAAGGATTTGATGGCATAAACTTTAATCAGGAAAAGTCATTTCTTCTGTAAATACTTTTGAGTCTTATGTTGTACGTTGAGTTTTTATGTTTGTAGAACAAGTCATTAGGACTGCCTTCATTATATCAGTGGGACATATTGCGTCGCGAAGTCAACTACCCCATCGTTTTTTAGTGTTTATATTTATGATAATCATGGTTTAAAATATTGATCTATAGCAGTAAAAGTAACATATGATTGATCATTGAGTGTGAATTGACAGACATTATCTATTTAATATGTGATCTCCTTTCGATTACTGATTTTACTATGAACTCATTGAACATTGGCTGCTTGTAGTTGTGTCTAGTCTTATTAGTTGAAGTTTCTCATAATCACAGTCACTTTTTGGCTTGATGTTGTTACAAATGTTATTTTCTATTTTATGATGTGATATGGTCTGATGTTGCTTGTATATAAACCAAATATGTTTGAAATATATGATTCAATATGAAAGGATGCTAACATTTATATTTTAGACTGAATCGGCTGAGTTAGACGAGGCTTCTCGTATTGGTTTATGCATCATTGGTCTGATAAATTAGTCGGTGACTCTAATTGATGATCATATCGCGTGATATATTAACAGGGCACAAATGTTACAAGTTATAACAAGGCTATATTCTAGTTCACCATTTTCGGTAGTGGATCTTATATGTGGTATAGCATAATCCTGTTTGTTTATAGTATACTGATCAAGCATCCAGTCTAGTGCTAGTATAATCTGGTTCACTGGTCCTATTGTAATGAAAGAGAACATCAATGAGGACAATCGACTGTATTTGACAACAAATTACAGAACTAGTTAGTAAAATCCAACAACCATATATTAAGTGCTCAATTTGCAAAATGTCCATCAATTGTCTCAAAATGACTCAAACTTCATTGTTCTTGAATTTTCAAACAAATTGCATTCTGTCTTCATTCTTTACTGTTCGATCCTCTTGTCTCTCTGCTGCCAGACATTCCGTTTACGGCTAACATCATATACTACTTATGTCTACATAAGTAGCACACATCACACTATTACCGTATTACAGTAGTATGTTGTGAGAACAAGAAAACAAGTGTTATTTGAATGTTACATTAAATATTTGATACTATTGATTCAACTACCTAAGATTTTGACATTTTACTTGAGAATTATCTATGTATCAGTCAATAATAATCAACCCTTAACATAGCATAGATCCACATTAGTCCAAATTACCACATTGTGTATTGCTATTAACTTATTCATGTCATCCCACCGCTAAGCATTCACATCTCATTATCATGGATTAAAACAAAGTCGACTACTTAGTAGTAGTATGTTCGTTGTTTAACATATCGATGATCAACTCGTCTACTGTATAGATGACATAAGTTTATTTATTTATTTTATTTTAACTCATAAATATCGGTACAAGAAGGCACCAAATACATATGCGCCACACAGATCTCATTTGATATGTGTGAGGGCTGTGATACTGCCCGGGTGCCCAAACCGAAGCAGGTGGTTTTCTTAGGGGGCCACATCCCGAGCCTTCGACCTGAAGATCTGATCCACAAGGCAGTGGAGCATCGTGAGGAGATGTATTCCCATGGTAGCCGGTGACCAACGATTGGTTCATACGCCATTTGTTCCCGCAGGATACTGGAGCCCATGTGCACCATTGATTTGGGATCCGGTTAATGCGCCGGACATTCGTTTTTCGTCCTCTCATTTTCGTAAACAACACCCCCGCCACGAGAAGGCAGTGAGTAGGACTTTCCTGGCAGGGGCTGTATACGCGTGGCCATGTGAGAGCATTTCGAGAGGGGGAGCGGACTCCCCCCACTCTCGGCCGTACCAGGGCATTTGGGGGCAGATGACATAAGTATACAATAGATAAATGAGAATTAGCATTAAAATCATTTCGTATTTCTTTTGTCTATTATATCACCACTAATTTACTTGCATATTTAACTTCATTTATTAACAAATTCATTTTAACATTCCTATCGATCATTTAAGCTAAATCAAAGAGTTATATACAATTATCTCAGCTTACTATTGAACATTTTATCATAATACTATATATCTACTTCATCTCAGTTAAATGAATTTCGAAATTGACTATATCTCTATACTGTCTCACTCTTTCCTGGCAGTCGGCATAACCTATTTTGAACTTCAATTTTTTTATTCATTATACATTAGGTTTGTATTAATTTTATCATTATGATTGTGATTTACTGCTCTCTCTCTCTCTTTCTCTCTTTGTCCCTACAATTTTAATGATTGAATAATGATTTGTTTCTTTTCAATACATTTCTGATATATTTTCATTGCTTTACAGTTAACATAAATTTACACTTCCTATACAAAGGTTTGTGCATTATTGTTTGTGTGTGATTTTTACTGGTGGTACGTGTTCATGTTTGTAGAGTGTTCTCTTTCTTTTTTTTGGGGGGGGGGTGCGTGTGTGTGTGTGTATCATTTTGTTATTATGTTTTACAACAATTGATTGGTAATTGTTTCTAATGTATTCATGCTATTTATTGTTTTGTTTTTCTTTTTCGGTTACTATGATGTTTCACGTTGTTTGTTTGTTTTTTTTTTTGTAAAAAAGTGTTCCTTCATAGTTTACCCTCTGTTTCTTTTGGAAAATGTTATCTCTTCGTATATATCAACTCAATGTAGCTGAGTTTTCCTTGACGTGATTGTTATTGTCAGTTATAAACAATTTTTCAGTTTACAACAAAGTATGTATCAAAACTATGTAGTGTTAGTACAATAGGTTCGTAAAGACCATTCGTTTTAAAGGTATTATATTTCATGGATATACTTTGGTTAAACAACCATTTCATTTCATTTCAACACATAGATATTGGTGCAAGGAGGCACCAAATACATATGCGCTACACAATTCTCATTTGATATGTGTGAGGGCTGTGATACTGCCCGGGTGCCCAAACCGAAGCAGGAGGTTTTCTTAGGGGGCCACACCCCGAGCCTTCGAC